TACAGATAGTTGAAACTTATATCAAGGTGATAAACAAAATTCTTCCATCCTGGATTTGATTAATATTTTTTTTTAAGTGGAAAGGTTGAAGTCTTCTTCCTTAAGGTCTGTTCGGGTGATGGTTTGAAATGGAAGGCTTTGATGGTCTAATTCCACATCTTGATAACTAGAAGTTTCTGAAAACGAATAAAAGATGATTGAAATGCTAAACAATTACTGTACATATTATCTTACTCTTTAAATTTCTGTAAAATGTCAAATACATATATCAAAATATGGACTAAACCCTTGAAATTAGCCCTCCAGAAAAAGGAGACAGAAAATACTGTTTTACTAAAGGGGTCTCTTGTGAATGTATTCTTAGTTTATGTGTACTAGGATTCAAACTCCCGACCTCTCCAAACAGATGCCTCTTACTCTACATCATGATGGCTTGACATTTGATCATGTGTGTGTATTCAGTTGTCCCTGATTTGTTCCATCTTATCTCAATTACTGACTGGTGCATTGTTGTTTGGCATACAGGCATACTACCTTCCAGAAACCGAATTTGTGCATTGGTCACGTGCACATCCAGTACGTTGGGGGTGATCTATATAAGATCCACATAAGATTTATTCAACTCGTTTGTATGATGAGTACGTAATGGTTGTTTTTCGGTGTGTTTTGTTGTGCAGGAATACAGTAAAGGTCAAGTGGTGAGTCTTGTCAACCTTGTTGCCACAATGAAAGGTTGGAAAAGAAAAACCAGGTTTGAAGTGTTGGAAAAGATTGAATGAGCCGCCACCCACTCCATACCCTGAACATAATGTGGATTATCAGTTTTGCAATAGTATTATTTTTTCTTTGAAAAGCTTTGTATAATTTCTGTAAATTGTTCTTGTTCAGATCTTGCTAGGACGATCAAAGTATAAGGTGACTTTACCCTTCGCTTGTATTATAATACCTCCTCCCTAGAAAAAGGCCTTTCTTAAGTCCAATCTTCAACCACAAACGTACACTGATGTAGTCTACACTGATGTAGTCATGTTGAGCTGTGAGACTGGTGTAATATATTCTTACCACTCAATAATTCAATATGTTATTATCCAATCTCTACAAACAACTCAATAACAATGGACAGAGGAAAAAAAGAACTCATGTAATTAGAATCAAGCAATTTCATGAGATGCGATTTGTATTTTCAAAAGCAAGAACAATTTGTTTGTATACTAAAGAGAAATATGTCAAATAGGTTTCTCTTTTAATGGGGTTACAAGACAAGGCCCAAAGCTTAATCAGTTCAGGTCCCTGGATTGGACACACGAGTTCAAGCTCACAATTAACAATTTAGACTAGTAGGCCCAAGCACAAGTTCATTAATCATTATCTCATCGAAATAGCTTGATCAGTAGGCTCAATGATCAAAGAGCAGTCCAATCGAAAAGGTCTGGCAAGGAATGAAGTCTAACAAGGCGGAAGTTCAAGACGGCCAATTCGCTAGATTGGATCGCCTACTTGTCTAGTCGGGAGCCTTTCTACCAACCTAGTCAGGAGTAGTCATGGACTGGGCCCGGTCCGGTTCCGGTTCGGGCCTAGGCCTGGAGGTGTTGGAGTATAGATCGGAACCGGCCCGGTAGGCTACCCGTTACTGGTTCCGGGCCGGTCCCGGTTAATTTTTTTTTGTTTTATTATTTATTTCAACCCCTACCCCTCATCCCCCACCCCCCAAACCCCTCGGAATCACCCAGCCCAGCCCATCTAAACCCAGCCCAAACCCAAAAAAAAAGAGGCCTGGACCGGGCCTGAACCGGCCGGGCCGGTTCACCTTTTCCTTGCACCGGAACCGCCTCGCCTTAGCTCCTCGGGCTGGGCCTGGTCCCGGAACCGAAATCGGTTTCCCGGTCCGGGCTGGTCCCGCACAGTAGTAGGCTGGTCTGGTTCGCGGGCCGGTCGAACCAGACCGGGTCCATGCCTTGTCAGGAGCCCGTCAGTCCAATCTAAAGTCTGCCTATTATTAGCCCAGTCGGGAGCTTGCCTACTAACCAAGCCAAGAGCTTGCCATCTAGCTCAATCAGGAGCATGCCTACTAGCTCGGGCGAAACCTTGCACACTGTCTTGGATGGAAGCCTGCCTATCGACCCAAATGGGAGCTTGTCTACCGGCTCGAACGGTGCCTGCCTATCGACCCAACTGGAAGTCTTCCTATTGGCTCAAACGGGAGCCTGCCTACCAGGTTGAAAGGGAGCCAACCTACTAGTCCAGCAGAGAGCTGCTTACCAGCCCGATGAGGAAGTAGCTCAAGCGTCCAACCTACTAGCTCGGAAGAGCAGTAGTCGGGATAGTCAATGCGTTGATTAGTGCTGCAGTTAATGTCATACTAATGTTGTAATTAATTAGCCATTATTGGTGTTTGTTGTTAACTTTTGTAAATGCCTATAAAAGGCAAGTGTAAATCAAATGATAGACATTATTTTCGGGAACTAAGTTCCCTAGTAACTTTTCATTTTCATATTTTTTATTTCTTACTGAGTGTTCTGTCATAATTTTCTTCAAAAGTCTATAAGCGTCCATTTGGGACAAACAACTATATTCAAAAAGTTAATTTAGTCTTTATACTACCCGATTATCCAATCAAACAATGGCGGAGTAAGAAATGATAGGTTTGGGGGGTGGGGGGTTAAAGAGTTTTTTTTGGCGGTGCCAAAACTTAAAATTTCACTATATTTGTTATTGCCTATAAATATTTACATACATGTATATACATCACTTTTTTTTTCTTGGGGAGTCCGAGCCCCCCTCCAGCCTCCCCCTGTCTCTACTCCTGTAATCAAACCTCTCAACTATAAACAAACAGTCAACATAATGAGTGTTTGCGATTGCTTTTACTTGAAAAAGTGATTTTTCAAAGTGATTTTTGAGAGTGCGTAAAGTAAAAATTGGCAGTGTTTGAGAAAAAAGTGATTCTGAAAAAGTAAAAGTTGGTAGTGTTTGATACAGTAAGTGCTTTTGTGTAAAGAAAAATGAAAAGCAGTTTAAACTTTAAAGCATCCTTCAACCTCCTTCCAGCTTTTGGCTTTTAAGAGATTAATTTAAGCAGAATCTATCACTTGAAAACACTAATTTCAACTTTTCTTAAGCCAAAAGTTGAAAAACATTTTCTTTTTTAAATTTCTTGCAATCACTCCCTTATATTTTTTGCTCGTAATTGCTGAACCGGTCACCCACATGACATTAATATTTTTCTTTCCTTTATTTCTTTTTTCTTGGAAAAATTGTCAAATACATTATTGTATGTAAAAAATTCAATTAATAAGTCAAATCTAAAAATTCAATTAATAAGTCAAATCCACAAATTTTAGAAAAATACTCATATGTAAGAAAAGGCGTCAAATAAGCACCATACTATATTATGAAAAAATCAATTAAGGTCTCCAATGCAAAATTATCCAGTTAAATCCCCCCCACACATAAAATTTTCAAATCAACCGTTTAGCTGGTTACCTCTTGATTCCTAGTTAACTCACGTAATTAGGCCTGTCAGTGGGTCGGGTTTGGGCCGGAACGTAGTGTTCCAGAACCAGACCCGCAAAGTTAACAAAGGACCTAGATACGACCTGTTTACCCGTTGGGTCTAATATTTGGACCCGGACCCGGACCCAACAGGTCTTGCTTCTCGGAACCGGGTCAGGTAGACCCGCCAAAAATGATATGCACACCATTATAAATTTTGTAAAAATAACAAGACCTGTAAATGGAATGTTAATCAAAGTGCACAAACTTAAAAGAAAAATTCACTTTTCAAAAAATCAATGTTTCTCATAGAAAATTAGTACTTTTAAGTTATACGAAGTATCCAATAAATTATCAGTTCTTGTAGAGGCGTATAACTCCACACTTTGTATCACTTTCTCTCATAAAGAAAGCTTGTAGAATAAATTAGAAATCAAGTCACAAAAAGGTCTCTTGAACTACTAAAATTATAAAAGCATATTATATATGATAATGATATGATAATGATATAATAAAATTAATAATAATAAGTATTGTGTTTTGCCTACCGAGTACAATACACACTTTATCCTTAGCTTGGACATCCTCAAAGGCTCTGCATAGGTATTTGGTCAATTCTCGGTACCACTCCGAGTCTTCTAGCATTCCTCTTCTGAATGCCTCCACGGCCGTCGGGATGTCGCATCTAGGGATGGACACCTTCTCCTTGTTGAAGCGATGTAGGTAATCTCGTAGGGATTCATTTCGCCTCCGGACCACCCGATAAAGATCACTTGTCTGCTTCTCCAGAGTTTGACTGCCTGTGAATTGCTGATTGAACAAGTTGACCAGTTCGGCGAATGAGTTGATGCCTTCATTTGGTAAGTTGACAAACCATGTCAGCGCTGGTCCTGTCAATGTTGTTCCAAAGGCCCTACATATGCAGGCTTCCCGCTGATCTGGCCTGACCGAGATGGCCAACATGCGCTGTTTGTATTGAGCGACATGTTCCACTGGGTCTGACGTTCCGTCGAATAGCCTCATTGAAGGTGCGGCAAACTTCCTTGGAATTTCTACATCTGTGATATGTCGTCCAAACAGGGAGTCATCATAGCATGTTTCTGAGGTAACATCTAGCGGTGGCGGGACTCCAGGGATGCCGTTGACTTTCTCCCGCATCTTTCTCATCTCCTCCATGAGTACGACCAAAGAGTTTGCCAAGTAAGTCTGCATTTGCGGAACTGCTCCTTCAGGTGGTGTCGGCATTTGGGCTGTTTCTCGCCCGGCTGACGATGGTATGTCGATGATCTCCGGTCGAGAACCGGAACCGGAACCGGAGATCATCGACGATGGTATATATAAGTGTACAAACAATTTTTTTCAAATAATATATATAATATTTTTTTCAAGAAATGAAGAAAAATAAGTAGAGAAATAATATCAACAATTTTTCTTGTACACACATTCTTATACACACTTTCTTATCTCTATGAGTTCGATTCACAGACAAAACATGTCTAAGAGAATGTGTACAAACAATTTTTTTCAAATAATATATATAATATCTCGGGATCTTTCAACTTGTTTCATGTAAGTAAGAATCCTCATTTTGAAGTGTCGAAGGGGACTGTATGATTTCACCAATCATGTTTAGCGACACGCACGGCTGATCTACCGCAACCTGCAAAGTCAATACATAGTTAATGACAAAAGGGTAAATGCAACGTCTTCGAATTCTTATCCAATCTGATATATTTAAATCTAGTCTTGTCCAATAAAAGTTTGATATATGTTAGTCCGGTCTGCTATACTTAAATCTTGTCTAGTCAGAATGTTTTTAATTGGGATGTTTTTACTTGGACTGAAATTTTCTGGTCTGGGCTGGTCTGATTTGAACTGGTCTGATCTGATTTGGTCTGGTTGTGTGGCCCCTGTGTAGTTTTTTTTGAAAGGAAACTGATTATATTATATCAATCAAACGACTCAACATACTTCCCCCCTTACAATCAACCCAAGCTTCCTCAATCAAGCATCTAAAATTACTACCCCACGAGTAACGCCAAACCTCCTCATGAGGCTCCGCATAGCCAAAAGGCCCTCCCACTCTCTGGCTAGACATAGAATAGACCACCCCGAAAGGAGCGAGACTATTCGCAAACCATGTGAGAGCTTCGAAGCTTTTAACGGCCAAACAAGCCTTGTCGCTTCCACCCACAATAACGTCCTGAGCAAAACATGAAAAACAAAACACCAGCCTACCTCTAGAGTTCATAATGAAAATAAAAGCAACATGAACAAAAGAAATGGAAAAAATGTAGAAATAACTAAAGTCTTCAAGCATCTTCTTTCAATCCCTAAATCCACAATTCTTCTGTGGCGGTGGTTTAGGTGGGGGACGAAACATCATCACTCCTTGCTCTTCCTTCCACACTTGTATCGGGAATTCTCCATTCCAACTCATCCGTCTATCCATGGCTAGGTCATCTTCCGCTCGTGTTCCTCTGGGATCAAACACTGTCGGTACCACTTCCATCTCAGACACTAATAGAACCAAAATTGCCAAAACAAACATAGAGGAATCAAACCTCAACATTGTTGTTTCGTTGAATTCCACAAATAGCATCCCTTTCCGCGTTCACGCTCAATCACCCGTCTCCAAAACCAGGCCGATAGACCCAATTACCTGAAAGCGCCGATCCTTAGCAGCAGCCGGAACTTCTCTCGACTAGCCAGAGACCTCCAAACCAAAGAGCCTCAAGGACCCCTCGAATCGATTCCCTGTTACGGAAGAAGACCCTGCTGCGAAGTGGTTCCCTGCAGCGAACAAAAACTTCCTGCGAACAAAGCCTTGCGGCGGTTGAAGAAGGCTGTCGCATCACCAAAACCCTAAGACGAAGCCTAGCCTTCCTTTTTGCATTGGCCCCTGTGTATTTATAAGTGTCAAAGTCTGATTTGGTCTAGGACTGAAAACAGTCCAACTAAAAACATCCTTGGACTAAAATTTTCCGGTCTTGTCTATCTATGTCTGTTTTGGTCTGTTCTGAACTAGACTTGGGCTATGTTTGGCACAACGAGCTGGAGCTGGGGGCTAATATCTGAATTAGGGGCTATTGTCTGAATTAGAGACTATTGTCTGGAGCTAAATTGTGAAGTGCTGAAATTGAATTTCTAGCTAAATGGAGTAGCCCGTTTGACAAAAACAACTCAAAAGGTATCCGAATAATATCAAATTACATTAAGGGACACTTCATTAATTCTTCAATATTTTAATTCAATTACAATATTATAAATAAAAATAAAAATGTTCAGAACAATTTAACTCAAAAACAAATAAATATCAATACAGAACTGAATTTTCATATCGATTGATTAATGTGGGAAATACATATAATAACACAGTACATACTTATATTGATTTGTGTAATTGACCAATTTAGAATATGTTTTAATTATTGATTGAAAAAAAATGTTTTCAACTACGGAGTATATTTCTCTTCCAAAAAAAACTACGGAGTATGTTTCAGGTGTTGACGTATGTATCCATAAAAAATCATCAAAACGAAGTTGAAACAGAGCATAGTTTATTGTGGGATGGAAATGAAATTCAATTCTTGTATCGGTACAAAGATCGAGTAGGTGAAGGAAAAATTTGTGGCATGGCAAGGGCAAAGAAGCAGTAGTCAGCTACTCACAAAGGAAGGGATTATTTCCACAAGGTTAGGTCCTGGGTTCGACTCTCGGCAACTGCGATGAGAGGTTACTCAATAGAGGGCCTTTGCAAGTACCGGGGACAGAGCCCAACTCTCTATCTGTTAAATTGTGATTATAGTCCAATTTACATCCTCCCATCACGCCGGCCGGTTGGTGTTGGGGGGGCCTCAAGGATGGGGTGTCATCCTTTTTTATTATTTTTTATTTTTTTTATCTAAGCCGCTGACTTCATCGCAATCTCCAACCACCACAGCCGGCGCCATCTTTGACCACCACAACTGTCGCCCTCGCCCCCGTCCCCATCGTCCACCTCGATGGGGAGGCGGATGGGAGTCGAACGACCGTCGAAGTCATCTATTGAAGCTTGGTAGCGGATTAGGATACGTCCATATCCATCTTCTTCAATGGGCGACGACTCCATTTTGGGGTCGTCAGTGCCGGATCTCTCATCCTCCATGGACGAGGAGTCCGATTTAGGGCCGCCGCTGCTGGTGGCGTGCGACAAAGGTTCCATAGTGGTGCGGTGGCTAGGGTTTTGGTGAAGTGGACAGAGAAGGGCCTATGGGACTTGGTGCCGGCGTCGCTGTGGCCAAAGAGCTTGAGCTGGGGGAGTGGACTGGTGGTGGGACATGGCTGGGGCTGGGACACTGGTTGGGGTCGAGGAGTTGTGGCTGGCAATTGGGATCGGAGGGGCAAAGGCAATGGGTGGTGTATCGGGTAAACCAATGTGGCGGCGACGGGGTTACAGGCGGCGGGGGGTTACAAGGTGTGATATTGGCGGCATATTTGTTTGAAAATTGTATAGTAACTGTATTTGACTTAAGTCACCACGGCGGCTTCATTGAAGCAATGTCACTATGGCAGTGTAACTGTGACGGTTTCACTGTAGCTTGCGACGGCCAGCGGCGGCGGTTGCTACACGGGCGGTTGCGGCGGTGACATTCAAACAGTGACATAAAAATATAATAGTGACATAAAAATCTGGCAGTGACATAAGAAATGGCAGTGACGACATTATCTTTTTCCAAATATGTGACCTTAGTCACATTTTTGTCTTTTTCGGAAAATGCTCACATTTTGGGGAATTGACTTTAATTTGATAATATTGAAGGAAAAAGCCCCATTAACAAAGGCACACAAAATGAATCTTGGAGAGTTAGTGAAGCAATAATAAGTGAGACTTACATAGTGTCCTGCACCTAGAATCCAGTAAAAATGTAGGTTTTTATATGACTTCACAAAAGCCCTTGTTTGATTATCCCCACAATACATTGGACGTCTCTCCATGCTAGTGAATGTTTTTAACCCTTCCCACCTGTACTCAATTATACAAAAGTACATACATTTAGTTACTGAGTATAAGTTATGGTATTTATCAAAGAGAGGAGATTATAATGCATATATACTTGAGCTTTTGAACCCATGCTTCAGTTCCCTTGGTGGCACAAATGAGATCAACCTATCATCATGATCAAGTATAGGAAATGTAGCTAATTTCTCTATATTTTAATGCAAGAAGACAACTTTGAAGAAAAACCAATTGATGGCATAATTACTATGACACTCAAATATTCTTTCCCAACAAAACATTGATTTTATCTTTCAAATGAGATACAATGAAGAGCTTTACTTGTCCGTTGTAAATAGTCACATTCACTCCTTTATTCAATAGTTCATCGACCTATGCACAAAGTCAAAAAAAAAAAAAACACCATTAATACCCACACACGAATGTAGAGAAATTAACAACTCATAATAAGAGTGAAACACAAATCAATTTCACAAATGGGTATTGATTATGTTTTGCCATCAAAATAAGATGTACTCCGTATTTGTTTAGTCATAATAAGAATAAAAAAAAAAAATTCTTATCAGAGTAAACAAGGCATATTTAGAGAACATGCAAAACAATGATAGTTCTATTTTATAAAATTTATCATGATCTAATCATACTTGGATAATTTCCTCATACGTAGTATTAGTTTTTCTATGGCCAAACTTCCACGTATGTATCCACATCATTTTCAATCGTTGACCACCAATATAATGTGGAGTATTAATGATTATACCTCACTTATTCTTGGTTTCATGATGTCGCCCCGCATATTTGCAAATACAACACTGGACTGGCTTCTCCACCTATACGATACAACCTTTTAATTTTTGTTTTTGCTTTGTTAGAGTTCAAATAAAAAACTACACAGTATAAAATAACTCAAGAAAAGCGTTTAAAAATTCTAAAATAAGACTGTCATGTTTTCATTCACTAAATAAGAGTCATTACTGCCAAACTTGAAAAATGCTGCCAAATTTAAAGCCTGGTATTGTCAAAACATGACAATATTTACTGCTATTCATAGAATAAAAACATAATAATCATATTTTGAAATACACAAACGTTTTTAGTCTTATTTAGGGCATCTTCCAAACAGAAATACTCACTGAATGTTTCCTGGGATAATCTTCAATTTTGTCTTGATAGCTCCATTCATTAAGGTGTTAAGAGCAGAAGAAGTGGACAATAAAGGGTCCATATTGGAATCCAACATAAAGTTGTAGAAATTCTGCAAATGATTTGAGTTAATTTGCTGAATTTGTTTTGTTCGTCTAGTGAATATCAAACTATGCATTATGGTTTGTGTTTTAATTTCAACAAACAGGAAATAATGGTCGTTAAGAATATTTTTCAAAATTAGATATATGCGCTTATTTATCATGGCCAACGAATTAATAAGAAATAGTAGTTATATCAAAGTTAAATAAGAAATATTAACGAAGAGGTGCAAACTAAGTAGTTTTAAAATAACATAACCTAATATCCCATTATGAAGAAAAATGAGATTTTAATACCAATTTCATTAAATAACTAGAATATATACCACCGAATTGCTGGAATTGGTTAGTACATCTTGAAGGGTACCCCACAGTGCAGTTGCTTCTGTAAATAGTCCGTCATCAAGTTTCTTCTTAATTTGCGTAGCTAAACTGTTTTAGACAAATTATTAACAATAATGAAATTAATTGGGGTTGTTAGGTAATTAAAATAAGTATTTAACACTTGCAAAGCATTAAAGGAAAGAGTTGTTTAACAAGGACCTATTTGATTTTTCTAAACCATTGTCATCAATTCTTGATACATCTTTCAGTAGAGGTCCCCAAGAGAACTGCAGAATTGATAGTGTTGAATTATGATTAAAAATATCATCCAAATATCCAATAACATGTACTCCGTAATTGTTTAACATATTCACACAAGATGGTTAAGAGGCTATTCTTAAAATTGCTCTTTTGAAATTAATGATTTATATACGTCTTTAATTATAACTTGAATTTTCTTTTATATTCTTCAATCTAATGAAAATATCCTAATAGTATAATGTAGCATATTGGATCACCAATTAACTACTTTAAGCCTAAAATCAGGGTGCTTCTATATATATATTCAACAACATAATCCAATATAATATACTACCTCCGTTCTTAAATAAATGCAACATGTTGAATTTTACACTATTCACATGTTCTACTTTGACTACGTTTTATTTATTAATGTATTAATATTTTTTTTATGAAAAAAATATTGTTAGATGTCTCATTGTAAATTTTCAAAATCTAATTTTGTTAATTTTTTTACTAATACAGAATTAAATATATTAATGGTCAAAGTTGTGTCTCGGCAAATGTGAAATGTTGACTGTTTCATTTATTTAAGAACGGAGGAAGTATAAATAAATTTAAAATTTAATCACATCACATCACATACCACAAAATCTTCAGGAGAGATCCAACTATCACCTAATATCACTCCTGCAAAACTATAAATTGTCATATACTTAGAATATTAAAACCATGTTGTTTTAAGCTAATTTGGAATTATAAGATCAGTGATATAATTACCCCCAAGTTTGAGCTTCAATTCCCCTGCCGCAATGGCATTGAGAGCTGACAAGCCTAGACTCACAGCAAACTTCCCACCATAGGACTGTCCCACTATATACAAAGGACTTTTCTGTAAATTTGTGTTGTTATTGAAAAGCTCTATTAATAGAGTTTTTAAATCGGTTGCTGCCTCTTCGTCCGTCTTCACAAGGAGACTTGTGTTCTCCACATAACTATACCCAACTCCAACTGGACAATCCTATAGACATATTTTTTTTATGGTATTTATTAATAGTCACCAATTATATAGGGAAAACTCTCGAAACAGGAGTAAACATGTTTTGAAATTTCAAAATAGCACCCTGTCATGCTTTTATTACAAACTAAGAGTAATTACTGTCAAGTTTGGAAAATATTGTCATGTTTAAAGTCTGATACCGCCAGAATATTGTGGGAATTACTCTTATTTCGAGAATAAAAATATGACTGTCCTATTTTGGAATTTAAGAACATTTTTACTCCTATTTAAAACAATTTCCCAAATATATATGCGGAACTGTATTAAGTAGTAAAGATGCAATGAGTTATTTACAAACAACATTGTAAAATGAAAAAAAAACCTACCACAAATAGTAGATCAGCCCTTTTCAACCATGTTGAATTTCTGGGGTTCAAATTAACACCTAGAGGACCAATCTCTTGAAAATTCCCTATTCCAACTCCAGAAGCTCCCTAATTCAAGCATCAGTTAAGTTTAACTAAGAAGCTGTTCTGTTCGCCTGATCTGAATGTTTCTGATCTGAATTTTTTAAGTTCTGATCTGATCTGATCTGAATTTTTCTGATCTGATCTGATCTGATCTGAAACTTTCTGATCTGATCTGATCTGATCTGAATCTTTCTGATCTGATCTGATCTGATCTGAATCTTTCTGATCTGATCTGAATGTTTCTGATCTGGTCTGATCTGATCTGAATGCTTCTGATCTGATGTGAATCCTTCTGATCTGATCTGAATCTTTCTGATCTGATCTGATTTGAATGTTTCTATGATTATAATTATGATTATAATTATAATTATAATTATAATTATTATAATTGCAATTACAAATATAATTTAAATAAAATTATAATTATAATCGTAACTATAATAATAATAATAATAACAATAAAAATTAAAATTAAATTTAAAATGAAAAAAATTATACCTATTACACTAATTATAAATATAGATATAATTATAACTGTAATTATATTTTTAATTATAATAACTTATATAATTATAATTGTAATTATAATTACAATATTTATCTCTATAATTGTAACTATAGTTATCAATATTATTATAATTACTCCGTAAAATAATTACAATAGTAATAATAATAATAATAATAATAATTATAATAAAAATAATAATTATAATCATAAATTATAATTATAATATAATTATAAGTATAATTATAATTATTATAATTATAATTAATAATAATTATAATTATATTAAAATTAATTATAATATTATAATATCATAATATAATTATAATTATTATAATTATAATTAATAATAATTATAATTATATTAACATTACTTATAATATTATAATATTATAATATAATAATAGTACTATAAATACAATTAATATTATCATAACGATATTATTATATTAATATTATTATTACAATATATTAATAATAATACGATTATTATTATTATTAGTATTATATTATTATAATATTATATTATAATTATAATTATAATCATAATTATAATTATGATTGTAATTATAATTATAATTATAATTATTATAATTATAATTAATTATAGATATAATTATAATAATTACAATTGATTATACTTATAATTATAAGAATTATAATTGTAATTATAATTATAATTACATATAATTATAATATAATATTATAATAATATTAATCATATTATTATTATTATTATATTGTAATAATAATAATAATAATAATAATAATAATAATAATAGTCTTCTTAATAATTGCATTTATATTTCTATTATTATATTAAAATAGTATAACTATTATTAATATCTTATTTCTTTATCATATTATTATTAATATATTAATAATAATTATATAATAATCATAATCATAATAGTAATAACAATATTAATAATAATAATTAATATAATAATAAAAGTGATAAATCATGTTTGAACTTTTCTGATCTGATCTGATCTGAATGTTTCTGATCTGATCTGAATGTTTCTGATCTGGTCTGATCTGATCTGAATCTTTCTGATCTGATCTGAATCTTTCTGATCTGAATCTTTCTGATCTGATCTGAATTTTTCTGATCTGATCTGATCTGATCTGAATTTTTCTGATCTGATCTGATCTGATCTGAATAAAATAAGAATAAGCAATAAGTAATAAGAATAAGACGAACAGAACAGCACCTAAATAACAACCAACTCCTCAAGAAAATAAAAGTAAAAAATTAAGAACTTAACAAATGCTTGATTAATAAATAGACTGATATTGTAGATTGAGTCCAGTTCTAGCCCTAAACATTATTTTAAAATCTTTTATTGATTTATAGAAATCTTAATTTTTGAAAGTGATGCCAAAGTACAATTTCTTTAAGTTATAGACCAAAGTCAATTATGCATTAATCTGTACTTGAATTTTTTTTATCTGTTTACAACCACAAAGCAGTGGGGACGTAAGCGCGCCTAGGCGTAACCGCTAAGGCAGCAGAAAAACATCTCGCATAGTAGATCTAAAGGCGTGGAACAAACTATATAGCAAACTAAACTTAACATAAACAGCCAGTTGTGAATAAATTAAAGCAAAACTCAAATTAAGCAATATACTTCTTCGTATGAAAGTCAATTTTGGGTCACAATCAGAAAAAGGTTGTGTAGAGTGTAGACTATAGAGGAGAAATTAAGATAACAATAAAATTGCAAGGAAGAAAATAGAAATTGATCTGAATAGGAGTAAAAATATTTTGAAATTCTAAAATAGGACATTTATGTTTTTATTCACTAAATAAGAGCAATTTCTGCCAACTTTGGGAAAACCTGTCATGGGTTCATGTTTAAAGTTTGGTAATGTCAAACTTGCCGTTAATGACTCCTTTTTCGGAAACAAAAATATGACATTCCTATTTTGAAAATCTAAACGTTTTTACTCTTATTTAGCGAATTTTCTAGGAGAAAAACCACAAAATACAACATTTATTTAAGTTTGAAATCCCATATAAAGTATCGATTTGATTTAACTGAATTTTGATTAAATTTGTCATATCTAAGTTTGCAATTACCTTTCTTTTATTTAGAGAATTTTCTAGGAGAAAAACCACAAAATACAACGTTTATTCAAGTTTGAGATTCCACATAAAGTATCGATTTGATTTAATTGAATTTTGCTTACATTTGTCATATCTAAGTTTGCAATTATCTGTATTTAACCATTTAAAAAGGCTATGTTTTAAAGTTATAATTTTGTTTTATGGAATAGATGAAGTATTATGATTTTAAATGGAGGCTCGCAATGAAAAAATATCGGTGTATTGAGTAGTCGATTTCTCAAAAAACAATATTATATTCAAAAAAATAATTTACTCTAAACAAGGTCAATGAACGGTGCTCATCTGGCATCCGTCATTCAAAAATATTCTTTTTCCTTTCTACTTTCTATGGTCAACAAACCAACTATTCAACAAGCCACCCTAATGTTGGGTTATTAGCAAATTGTCTGATTTGATCGAATGTTAATGCCGAGAAGCGGAAAAAAGTGACCAAACATTTCCCTATAAATATTAGGGTCAAATAAAAGAATATGTAGTAATGGCTAAGCATATCGAAAGAAGATCTAAATAATTACCGGTCCACCCTGCAACCAAAGAATAATTGGCCATGACTTGTTTGGATCGTCCACTTTGTTTGGACTTTTGTGGAGCCACCAGAACATATTGGCTTCTGTTTTGCCATACAAAGGATAAAAAGGTTTAAAAAATAAATAGGTACAATCAAAACGAAAATCTGTTAAAACCCAAGATTCCATCCTAAAAGTCATTTAACAAGTAGTCAAATCACAACCAGACATGACCCTGATATTATGTTAAGACTCGAGATTTCATTCCAAAGGTAACATGATATGAGGAGTATCCCAAAAAAATTATGTAATGTTTTATTGTCTTATAACTTTTCGTTGTGGAATAAATATTTTAATAAACCAATTAAAATTTTTAGAGATTGAATATGCTTTAAAATATTGTTGTTAAAACAAAGCACAATTCAAAATTATAGATCACATGAAAGTAGCACAAAGCCACAAATCATACAATAACTAATACTATTGATGCATTTTAACACCCGGGCCCAACTATTAATTAAATGAACCAAACCAACGCCCTAACTTTTTTTTTTGTTTGAAATTGATTAATGATAGTGTTTTAAATTTGGTCTAAATCATTTCATATAACAGTGTTAGCTCGGCATACTTCTTCTCACATAAAAAGTTTCATGAAATTAATTAATAATTTCAAATGTCATGGTTTGCAAGATAAAAAACTAAACATGCAACTCATCTAATTATTACTACGCATATTATCTTTGTGAGATTAGTTACCTCGACAATACTTACGTCTCGTCCATATAAATAATGATAACATTATCAATTTGGTAAAACAATATAAGGTGGATGAATATATACATAGTAGAAGGGACGGAACCAAGGGGTCAGGATAATTGAAGTTCAAAAATGTATCTTCGATTAAAAAAAGAAGGCCCTTAAAAGGTTATATAAATACTCCGTATATTGCAAAAGCTTAACTTTATATACGCAAATTTCAACATACAAAGTAATGTAAGTCTTTCATCAAAGTCTTAATATATAAACTAAAAGAATAAAAATTATACGGAGTATTAAAAAAACAGAGAATTACCTGTGAAATTGAAATTTCAAATTTGGAAGATATTTTTGAGAAAATTAGGAGAGTGTTGATTGCTGAGCAAAACGAATTAAAGTCCAAAGATGAAACCTTGAAATTAGGCCGACCTAATGGGAACTGATGTCAGACTGAGGGCATTTGAGGCCCTTCCCGATAGAATTTTTTCATGAAATTTTTTAAACATATTCTTCATGAAATCTATAATATCTCCACAAAGTTTCAGATTAAAATTGAATCTGAAAATCAGTTAAATAAGTTATTGAAAGATAGTGCACATTATTTATGTACACAAAGCGCAGTGTGTTTCAATATTTTATTTAACTGACTTCCCGGTTGATTTTTAAACTAACATTTTGTGAATGTAATTTACACTTGATGAAAAATACTCTAAAAAGTTTCATAAAAAATTCCTCCATAAAGGGCCCCAAATGACCTCGGTCTGATATGAATTGTTCTCTATATATTTATCTATATATATATACGGAGTATATATTTATGGGCCCCTGTAAATGTTGGGCCCGGGGCACAAGCCCGGCCTGCCCTTGCCCAGGGCCGGCCCTGCATTTTAGCTCATTGAATTGACAATAATCTTCTAACTAAAAACCTTTATCTTAATTGTAGACTATCTACAAAGATTTGATAGTCTACTTTCTTATACTACGTACTTCGTACTATTTTGAGTATTTTCCAGGCCATCAACGCTTAGCTAATTTATTAATCTTTATGATAAAACACTAATTCATTCTAGATCTCTTTTTGTAACGTATGAACGAGAAAAAAGAGGAAACAATAAGAGAGGAAGAAAATTAAATCAAGGGAGTAATAATAAGGCATAAAATTAATTAATTACTTGGTCTGACTTCAACATAGCCCCATTCTTCAGTTCCATCTTCATTTGTCTCAGCTTTGGCTAATCCAATACCGCCGCAAACTGAACTAAAAACGAAAAGTGAAAGAGCCACACAAACAAAAATATTCAACCTCTCCATCGTGAAACGCTGCATGCCCTGTCTATCCAGTGCCTGATCGTTGTGCACTAAAATTAAAGCTAAAAAAGGCCACTACTTATAGGAAAAACTTTGAATTTTTTTATCATTTTTTGTGTGACGACGTGTGATCTTTGAATTATACGTATATAAATACAAAAGTTAAATACTAAATAAATATTTATATATTACGTAGTATATAATTTCAACCGTTTCTTATCTTTCTTTGAAAAAAATTAATCATGACCTTTTGTTTAAGTTGGACTTAAATAATTCTCATATGATTTAAATCTCCTTCTCATTCCACGCAATTCTAGCCTACAAGGCTACAACAACTTTTCCAGTAAAGTTAAAAGTTTTGAGCTTTTCTGATGAAATTCCATTCATGTTTTAATTTCGAAATTAAATATTTATGAAAATTTTCATGCTATGTATGTTTTGATGATAAGCATAATCTTTCTCTAATGAATTGTGTTCAAGGCGTAGATAGGGGCCATATATACTAGAGTCAATCCTATCCCAAGTATAAAAAAATTACTACGTACTTGGTATGGAATTTTAGATAAAAATGTATCTAAAATAACTGTTATTCTCACTTGTGCGCACAACCTGATTATATAATATTTCAGAATTTTAAAAGTTAAAATAAACATTTCATCACCTGTCAACAGGTTGGTGGCATTCCGCCCCCAAGGCGAACCGAGGAGACGATACCCTTTATTGGGGGGCCGAAAAGATGGCCGCTTTCGGATACGATCTGCGTATGAGCTTCTTAACGCAAGGCCTTCCGGGGAGTTCACCCCATAGCGGGGGATGGTGTGGCGTTGGTGTGGACCGAACTGCATCAGCCATTTTCTTTGGCTCGCTTTACATGGAAAACTCCTCACCAATGAGGAGCAGAGGCGGCGACACCTGGCGGTTGTGGGAGACTGCTCGAGATGTCACTCGGTGCCAGAAACGGTCCTGCATGTGTTGCGGGACTGTCCATTCGCGGTTGGTACCTGAGAGCATCTTGCCTTTCTTTCTGAAGATCAACCGAATTGGGATTCTCCACTACTCCTGCCTTGGATCACACACCACTTGAAAACATCGACCTCTACTCTTCTTTTTGGAGTTACCTGCTGGACTCTTTCGAAGGTCAGAAATGAGTTCATCTTTGCCGATATCCGCACTACACCTGATGCCATGTCACAATGTATCTACTTATGGGCCAAGTCGGTAGAGGAGGCTTTGATACGTGATCAGTTCGTTCATGCTGATTCACCCACAAAGACGGTTGCGGATATCTCTTGGTCGTCACCGCCACCCAAGTGGGTTGCTGTCAATTCAGACGGGTCTGTTATTCTTAAGACAAGACGAGCAGCCGGAGGAGGCTTGTTCCATGATTCCGATGGACGCTGTTTAGCAGCCTATTCCATGAACCTAGGGATTTGTTCAATCACTAGTAGGCTGAATTGAGAGTGGCTATGACAGGTTTGCAGATTGGTTGGGAGAGAGGATACCATCGTGTACAAGTGCAGCTCGACTCGAGTGCTGTGTTTCACCTACTATGAGTGATAGAGAGCTCACACACCAGCACACTTTTGAGGTCGCCAGTTTTCGTGAGATGTTGGATCAGGACTACTCGATGATCAAAGTTGAGCATATATATCGGGAGGGCAACCAGGCTGCTGATTTCTTTGCTGGCCTAGGACATAGTTTACCTCGGGAGAGCTCACACACCAACACACCTCTACATGTATTGATGATCCTACTTTATCGCTACACATTTTGTATGATTTGATGGGTGTTTCTCAGCCTTGGTTGATTGTGAATGAAAGATATAGGCGCTGATGCGCCTATGATTTTACCAATAATTTTAGACTTTTAAACCTCCATATGTGTGCGTGTGCATATTCATTCTTTTGTTTATTTATTTATTTGTTTTTAAATTAATTAATTTACCTAATAGTTACACTAAACTCACATGTGCACACATGGTATGTGCTCATATGACAGAGTAAAACTGTAAAACATTATTTTCACAATGTAGGAGCTAATGAGAAAAATTATGTAAAAAATAAAAAGCAGGTTTTATCTTTTATAGGTTCAAGTTATAAGATACTTTAACATTTTTACCATGTAAATATGTTCTAATGCTTGTTTTTTTATAATTGTTAATATATGTTTTTATAAATTTTATGAATTCTGATTAGTTTGTCATTCAAAAACCTCTTCACAATTACAATAATATTGATGAAGAAGAGCTTCAATAAAGAAAAAGAGATTGTTTGAAATTGATACACTTTATATTAACACAAGCTTTCATATTTATCAATGATATATTTTAAAGTAGAAAGGGGTTTGACCTGTTGTAGCACCAAGAGACTAAACAATCTGCAAATCTATAACTCTATTGACCTATCCCTTACACAAATTAACTAAAAATGTCCCATTTTATACTACGCTTCCTATACCAATCAGCGATGGAGCCATGGAGGAAGCCTTCGCCACTGATACCAGACATAATATCCTTATTATTATTCATCTTATCAATTCCAAACATTTTGACAAAGTAGGAGGTAAAATTTGAATTTTTGGAGCATAAGTCCTTCACCGCAGCAGTTTTTATTTTTTAAAGGATTTAGCACACACCACACTTTACAAAATTAGTGATATCTTATTCACAACAAATATAAAATCCTAAGCATTTTAGTGTTCCTAATTTTTAGAATTAAACTACGTTAACACATTTAGCTATGATATGTACTTTTAGATTAAGATTTCATAAAAAGGTTCACATTTCCTCTAAAATAGGAACATGGAAATGAGAAGTAGTACCAAATTTTGGCAAGGAAGTTACTCATCTACTTGCATATCCCGTGAGAACTCTAAGAGTTCTAGCCTAACTTAATTTATAGTTATTTTTGAGCAATACACAAATCAACAACAGTTACCCACCGACAAAGAAAGTTCTGCCCATCCATCTTTACTTGAACTCTACAATAGCATCAGGTTCCATTTACTGGACAAAACCAAATCCGTTGAGTTCCCTGCAAGAATAAAAGATGGAAACGGGAGATCAGAATGAAAAACACAATCAGCAAAGGGGTATTCTAGATGTAATACACGACAACCAATCTAACCAGAAAGAACAGATGTATTTGATGTCGGTAGACAACCCCTTAGTGTAGACCTAAATCTAAAACCAAAAGTTAAGAATGGGAGAAGATATTTAAAAGCAAGACATAGTAAAGCCTCAAGCCATAAATGTTGAAATCGGATCAGTATTGGCTGAGAATAAAAAGAAATAAACAATAAAATATTATAAAGATTATAATTCCAATGAAATGAAGACCATGATAAGTTCGTAAGAAAGCATGTCGTTGCTGACCTTAGCTATTTTGAGTTTTAAGATGGCTTGAAATTCTTGAAGTCTTGAAACCTTCTTCACATTTTCATATCCAAATTCTTTCCAACCTTCACACTACCATTAGCAACACATTGAACTGTTTACTTACTGACTGATTGATGTAACATAACTCTTACTCTACTTGAATGTCAACATTAGGTTTACAAATTCATAAACAAAGGAATTATTATTAATATAACTTTTTACAAATATTAAAAAATGATCTTATGAGAGAAGGAATTTCTACATGTGGATTCACAAGGTATTCCACCTTTGGCCAGAATTCAGAGGACCATTTCGTAACCCTCATCAGACTACCAAAAATATCCCAAGTTTGTTTGTTCCAACAGCATATATAGATAATCATCCTCCAATTCAAAACGAATTAACACATGCTTCTTATCCAACAACCCTAGATGGAAAGCACCTTTGAAGCCAACGATCTCAAAGGATTTCCTAAGAGTAGCCATCAAAGGTCTATTCTTGAAGAAATATCCAACCAGAGCACGTTTGTGCCTAGCTTGCTGTGAGAATTCGGACATCCAAATCCGTAAAAGAAATTGCTAGCATTCATTTGCAGCGAGTAGGAACCTTAGATGTTAATGGCACGTCCGCACGATCAGAGACTACATACGCAAAAGTCTTCATCGGAGCAGTAGGCGGTGGCTTCGCCGCCGTAGGAGATGTCATTAGATTGCCATACCTAAGGGAGTTTCTCTTATGCCATGACAAAATCTCTTTACAAAAATGATTTTTTTAAGATAAGTAAAAAGAAATGACATATTATTCTTTATAGAAAATTTTGACCGTCATATATATTGTGAGGTAATGTCTTGCTATGCAAGTTACTCTTTTTACAGGATCCATGATACTCAAGACAATATATTTGTGTTTGTTTTGCATTTAGTATTCAGGTTAGAAACTTACATGCTCTTACATGTATTTGTTCCCAGTTCACTGGTTCCCAGTCAATTTAAAACTCTATACAAATACCCTAATTTGTTTCTGGCATTTTACTACACTTGCATAGCTTTTAGTAGATTACTTCATGTAAGATACTTTATCAATCTAATTTACTAATATTTTGATGCAGACAACCTGGATCGATGAAAAAGTAAATTTCTAATCAACATGATAATTTGTAGATTTTGTTCGGAAGCAGGATTGTAATCAAATTAACTCGACACAAGGGAGTAAATAAGTAATTCTTCATTCCAAGTTGGGAAATAAAACGAGTCAATTAAGTAACTCACAAGATAAAATGGTCCACTCTGAATCATTTCACTTGTTTTGAGTACCTACACATGTCTGAATAGTTTGTTAAATGCTTTTGAAATCCGGATAAGGTGTAATTTCGTTTCAATGTTTTTTATACTCGTCTTTATTTTGGTGTAAGGCTTGATTACGTTTTAAAAAAGGAGTCTCACTTCGAGGCTTTGTACTATAGTTTACCCTTTCTGTATCGAGTCTTGTTTATGTTGGGGGGTTGTGATAGCTACTTCCTTGGTGTACTTGCGAAGAGGCAGTATAGTTTAATTAATTGGTATAAGAGTCAAGGTCATTTCGTAACTCTAACCTAGTGATGGACCCGGGCCGGGTCGGGCCTAGGCCTGACGGGCTTTTGGGGTTTAAGGGCTTTCCTAACTACCCCTGACCCCCACCCCCCAAAACACCCAGCCCAACCCAAGGGGAACAAAAAAAATTGAAAAAACAAAAAACAATATTTTGGCCCGAACCGGGCCGGGTCACCTTTTCTTTAGCCCGAGCCCGCCCCGCTAATGTGACACCGCACCCGAACGTCCTTGAAAATTCCATTCTTAAATTCAAAGTGATGTATTGAATTTCCGATTTCAAAACAATGGAAAAACGATTAATATTTTACGTAGTACATGATTGAATATTGTATTGTTCAAACCCGTATTCTTTTGTAATTTTCATCATGTAAATTATTGAGATGAGCCTACACATATTGGAGATCAATAATGTGATGTAGGAAGTTGACTTGTTCTAAATAAGTTAGGATGAGTACAAAAAGACATCTTTGACAAAAGGTAAAACAATAGAACCCATCTTCCCATTTTTGGAAGTATTGATAGATATTTTGGAC